ACAGAACTAATTGGTCATTGATTTACTAGTTCCCCTAGAGTAATTCTACATTGTTTTCATAATGAATTTGTTAATGTTATTGAGATGATACCATACTGATGGAGACACAGATTAAAAATCTAGATGTTTCTTTTTATTGCTTAGCAATTACTGATATCACCGTTCTCTATATACAAAACGTAAGCGGCCAATAAATCATGTGGTTGAGTGCCACTCATTATGCTGTGGTGTTAATTTGTAGGTGATAACAAACATTGACAACAATAACAAAAGCATTTTCTATAGACAACTAATCAATGAAAGGCAATAGTTAAGCACGATGAAAAATATGATCAAAGCACTCTTGAAGATAAATTTGTTTCAGATTCTACACTACTTAAAAATAATCAGTAATATATACTATAATGGGATTTGTGGAGAAATGTCTAATGTTTCAAAAACATTTAATTCGCGTGGAAATGCGGTATGAATAAATCACGAGTATTAGATAGATTTGCAAGCAAAAAACAGTGTTCATCAATTAGTAGTCGGCGAAATTTAAGCCACAAGTTAGATTAAGTTAGATTGGTAGGTTTCTAAATTATCCTGCGACTGTTTACATGTATAGTTCTGGACATAGCTAACACTTTTTTCCTGTTGAACTTAAAACAAAACTTAACTAATGCTGATTATCCCGTTGGCCTGCAAGCATAGCTGATGAACTCAAGGTGCAATTCCTTGACACTAGTTACAATATTTAAGGAGGTAGTTTACAAAATGATGCAGTCTTTGCACTTTAAAACACAACAGCTGTCATTAGCATTCCGAAGAACATGCAATGAATAGTTTCCCCTGGGAAACTCATACGTATTTCGGTCCCATTAAATTAAAACTAGAATTGTGATGCATTTTGGTCTCACCTAACTGTATCTCATCTGTCTGCAGAGAACTAGTGTTCCAGCTACTATAACAAAACGGGTCACTACCTTTATGCAGACTTTGCAGATAAACGACACCAGGGTATGCAATTATGAAGTTATCAATGTAAATCCGCAATTTTTAGATGATAGATAAACTACAAATCGTCATACTAATAACTAATGAATAAGTAATGAATTTTCAGAAACCCAGGCGTTACCTGGAGAGACAAAAAAAATATATCCATAATGAACAATGAATGATAGTAAAAAGACGAGACAAGGTCTACACTTAAGTGAACGTTTCAGATATAATACTTTCGAGAGTCATTTATATATCATTATAGGAGAAAAATATTTCGTTTTCTTTCAAAGCTGAAATATACCTCATGAGGTATGGATGGAGGATAAGTAATCAATTCACAACTCCATAACGAAGTAGTTCACTAAATATTTGCTTAACATATGATTCATTTGAAACACTCTATTATCCCTTTGTAAATAAGTAACAAGAAAAATAATATACTTCATTAAGTCTACCGCAATATACAATTAAGATCATCAAAATCCTTTTAATTTACATATTAAAACCCACATCTGACTACCTTTAAATTAATTTTAAACCAATGATTAGCTTGTAAACTTTAGTAACAAGAAAAGTCAACTTCGAATATTCGAAGCAACAATAAGCGAGACTGTAATTTATGAATGAACCAATCAGATTTACGATAACAGTTTTTGAATTTTGGCACGAAATTCATTCATTCATTTGGCTAAATAGAGTTTTGGCATTATCAGTCAGTCAGCTACAACGTAGGACCAGACACATATGCACCGGTCCAAGTTGCCATACTTCATTAGTACAACCAGATGAATATCGAGTTCATAGAATCGTTAATTCAGTGGTGGTAATATATAAAAGATTTTATATAATGATATGATACAGGGAGAAAGAATCAGTTCGTAGAAAGAAAGGTATATAACAATTTTAATCTCACGGTTTAAGGGAAGACAAAGAGTGTATACACACACGCCTTTGTGATCGATTCTGAGCCATGTCACCAAGAGTCTCCAACCACTGGTTACGATAGTCAAGTGGACCCCAACCAAGTAGTCTGCATCTCCCGACATGACTCAGACTAGAAGTTAGTGACTTCAAAGACTGATGCCACGTTTTGGTTTGGCAGTCCCTAACTTTCTTACAACCGTGTCCAACACTAGTCAACAGAATTGCGCGTCGTGTTATTCGGTATTCAGGCATACGTAACACGTGGCCCAACCATCTCAGTCGATGAAGATTCACAACCACATTGGCATTATAGCTGATGGTAGTTCGTGATGAACCCTAACTATCAACTGTAAATATTAATCCTTATACTGGTTTATAACCCTCATTTAGCCGTAGTATGTAGGTGGACATTCTCAAGGTGGACACTGTACTTAATCAAATCATAACTATTACTACAAACTAATATAAACAACTTTCTAATTCATTTCAGATGTACATTACAAAATCGAATATTGAAAGTTTCAAGAAATGAAAGTATAAATCAAACAACTAATTATAATTTTAGTGAATATCTACAGCCAACTAATACCATTTTATTATAAACAAGTTTATTAACTCCGAAAAAGAACAGAAAGAAATTGATCAATCAAACTAACTGATCCAATATATCTACATACATGAATAAGATCATTGTATTATTCATAAATGTTTCAAATGCATATGACTGTATTACAAAAGTTCTTTTACAAGATCCTATCAGCATCTTAAATATTCGAAAAAAAAAGAAAACCCTGGCCTAGAAAAGGATATTTACAAATAAATATTTGAATAATATTCATTTGATAAGATTTTGTACAAAATTGCTTTTAAAAATATAAATATAATCTTTGAACTAGTAATATATATTTTAGTGATCTTTAAAAATTGCGCTACATTGTGATCAGTTTGAGTAAACAATCTTTTTGATGAAAACAACAACAAAGAAAAAGAAATTAGCTAACTCATAGATTATGCTATACGTTTTATTGTAGTAAATTAGGGTATGGAATGTAAAACTAATAAAACTGAGCATTATATAATGAGGTTTTCAAGATGCTACGATCAGTCGTAGCTTTCTGACGTTAGATATATAGTAATAATAACGAGAAAGATATGTTCAGAATTGGTACAGCCTATATGTCGATATACTTTATTATTATGTAACACTGACACTCGTTAATATTACACATAAATACCTGTGTTGGTATGATTAACCTTGTAATTTTCCAGAAAAACGTCAATGTATTTTCTCACCTCCGAACTTGATATTAGTACGAAACATAGTCTGATATTTTATGACAACTGAGCATTGTTATATTGAAAGCGAATAATATAAAGCTTATTATAAATTGAAGTATCATAGATAGAATCTTCATATACGGTTTTAAAATTCTGCATAACAATACGAATTACTTACTTACGCCTGTTACCCCTTGTGGAGCATAGACCGCCGAATACATACATACTTAATAATAACAACTGTATGAGGTCCTCCTAATATGTTCCACCTGTTCGTCTAATTAACACTAAACAAAACTTCGTCATTGGACTCTGATTATTACCAACATCAGCAATTGACCAAATAATAGTTCACTATATCACACTGAAGAGCGCAAATGACAATGAAATGATGATTTGCAACTCAAGTAGATGATTTTGGTGAAATTTTGTTCTCTGATCAAAACACCCAGCTCAGAGAAAAATTTCAACAAAAGAAAAATGTTTTTAGGAATACATTTAATGAAGAATGCCAAGTATAACTTCTTAATTCTCAAATTAAGGCATGTTTTTCGCCCTTATTGTTTTTCATTTATATCAAATCCATTCTAATGTAGAAAATATAACCTAAAATGAAATTAGTCTACTTCATATACAAGTGTTTCATTTTGAACTTCAATCAGATATTTTATTTCGAAATAAATAGATATAAATTTATTTTATGTATCATTACATTTTCACTGAAAATACTAAAGCGTAATCAAGTCTATGACTTTTACATTTTTGGTCAACTGAAGTTCTCTAACAAAATCTTGATCTGTTGGGAATCCAATACACACACACACAAACATCCCTTTTGACAAGTTATATCACAATAGACGTATGAGATAACATGACTAAGGTAATAATAATTTGAAGATGGAATTGATAAGATCAACTCAGTCTTCTCATTGCTTTATCGAAATTTATAAAAAGGACTAATTGCTTTAATGACAATTTGTTACCAAATTCGAAAAATTACAGTATTTGTTAAAAGTAGACTCATCATGCGTTCAGAAAAATGCGTTTTCGATTGGTCGTAAGTCAGAGGGACAAAGGGTAAATCGAACATATTTCACATCAATAAAAAGATTATCTCCCCTTTCATCGATCACCGTTCTTAGTGAACAAAACACTGCATAAATCCACGGGAAAATACAGTTTCATAAAACCCCCTTATTTAAAAGGCCTATAATATCGGTAGTTTAATGCATTACCGGAGCACATTACTGTATGCTTAAGTGAAAACATTAGTTCTTCTATACGAACTCACTGTATTCATGATTTTGTTAAACAAAACAAAATGAGAAATGAATAAAAACAAACTAATCTTTTCCAAGCATAATAATAGCAATTGGTAATTATATATTACATATCAGCTTGTAGTGACACTAGCATTATCATTCCCCCCTCTTCAAAAAACGTTAGGAATAATTTTCGTATGGGATTGAAAATAAAAGCCAAAGGGGAAAATAGGGAATATACAGTAACTAACTCAATATGTTTTTACATATACACATTAAGAAAGTTTGCATTTATTCGAAGAGGGAGAATATATGTATATAGTTTCAAATGGCACCACGTAAAAATAAGCGGAAAACAACTAACGTCATTTACACAACTGCAATTAACAACAAAGAATTTTGACTTTGTTCCGATTAGAACGCTAATCTTTTAATGCTTACACAAGCGCACACGCAAGTGCAAGCACAATAACTCTAATGAAAAAATACTGTCCAGTTTATGTTTCATCTGATAAAACAGTAAGAATATAATTACATCATTATAGACAAAGAAAATTATGGACGACGAGAGCGTCTGCTTGAAAGTGGTCGACGTCGAGGCGCATTCGTAGCATTAGATGGAGGATTAGTTGAAGATGTATTAAAAGTGAATGGATTGGAATTAGCAACGCCAGTACTTAACGGTGTTTGACCAAAAACAAAACAAGCATTTGTTTGAGGTGTAATTACACTTGGTGTAGATGTTTGGGGTAGAGAGAAATTAAAGCCACTAAAATTAGTTGGCGGATTAATATTAGAAAATACAGGAGTTGAAGAGAATTGAAAAGAGTTAGTGGTAGTAGTTATGGGACCCGAATTAAGCGAGGAAAATGACAAAGTTGGTAGGGTGCTCGGTTGTGAACATGCAGGTGTGAAGTGTTGGCCAAACGAAAATTGAGGCACTGAGGAACCAAAAGAGAGCGGTTGAGAAACGGAAGCTGCAGATGGCTTTGAATTAGAACTGAAACTACCGAACTGAAACAATGTACTACCAGGCGTTACAGAAGTTACAGTTGTAGTCACAATTGTCGTACCAAACGACAATCCACTGGTGATGGCTACATTAGATGCGGCGCTAGAAGTTAACTGATTAAAATTGAATTTTAAAGATGATGATGTATTAGGAGTTTCGAAAATCGAATTACTAGCTCCAAATAAAGATGTAGTTTTGGCAGGAGTTACATTTGCTGGTTTAATTCCAAGAGTAAAGGAGTTTGTTGAAAATGTTGTAGACACTGGATTAAGTAATGGGTTTATCGTAGTTGAACTGAAACCAGATACAGACGTGTTTGTGGGAAGTGATACAGTTGTGGAACTGATGTTAATAGAATTTGATCCAAATAATGACACGCCAGAAGTACTAGTAATTGGGGATGCAAAGGTAAACAAACCAACATTATTTGCTACAGTATTTAGCGATGACGTGGTACCCGTTATCTGACCAAAAGCACCACTTGAAATGGTTGATGAAGGTTTAGACACGTTAGCACCAAAGACAAAACTACTTGACACAGGTCCAGAGTTGGAAAATGATCCCAAAAATGATGGCATAGAAGTTGATCCAAAACTAACGGATGAGATTGGTTTTAGTGAGGATGTAGTCACTGTCGACGCTCCAAATGTAAAAATGGAAGCCGTAGAAATGGGTTGGGAATTAATTGAACCAAAAGTAAACGGTCTGCTACTGTCGGACTGAACTATATTTTCAGCTACCGATGATGGGTTACTAGTAGGAACAATAGCCGATGATGTAATAGCTGGTTTCGGGAAAGAAAACTCACTGAATGTAGAAATAGGCTTCAAAGGTTCAAAAACACTTGAACTAAGATTTGCTGTCGATGATAAGTTTGAACCTAGAGAATACATATGAATGAAATTAAATGAAATCTCGTATCCAAATCCTGTTCAAAAAGGATGCAATTATATCTTAAAACCAATAAGTTAACCAAATCCAAATTAGTGACACCAATATCATGGACAACATTTTCGACTTTATTGACCCCAATTATGTTTTTCCTTAGGTATCTTAACTGCTGATATTGAGATTCTTCTTAACTATGTAACATCTCATAATCTCACATTAACTACTTTTTTTCAGTTAGTTAAGAGGAGTTATAAATTTTATTTAGTGGCAACATTCATCTAAAAGTTCGATCCTGACACTGTCGATGAACTGGATGTTTATACTACGAATAGCACCTTAGAACGGTCGTTTGGTGATCTCTAAATATCATATATCCTAAACCCGCTTGGTAATTTCATAGACGACATCTCACTGCATAAATGTATAAACGGCAGAACAGTAATATGGGACAAACAAGATAATGTGATGTTGACGGCTTGATACCGTACTCGGCCACATTATCTTAACGATCAGAAACGCAGTGTTAATTCAGCGGTTAAGGCGTATAGCTTCTATCTATTGAGCTAGAGGTTGGAACCCCCTTGCATCCATTTCAGTCTTAGCAACCGGTAGCATTACTAATCATAACTAAAGTGTGTCCCGAAGCCAAGTACACGAGTATATGTATCTGGTAAATGAGCTACGTTGGGAAGCACAAAAGGTCCACTGCCTCTAGCGAAAATAATTTTAAGGGAGATTCAGGTACTACGACATCACCACACAAGTAATTGAAACCGCTTCTACCCAATGCAATAGATGAGCGTAGTTTGGGAATGTTTGTATTTTTAAATTTCACTTATTTCTGTTAAATATACAAAACAGATACCCGTTAAATTTAATAAATCAATACAAACATTAAGTTGCATCATCACTCGATTCGTGCCTAAGCAGAGTTCATATTACTCCCCTATAAAAAGGGAAAATAAATAATATAATATTGATAAGAATGCTTGAAAAAGCTATCAGTAAAACATATTATGTAGCTAGACTTACGGTGGTTGCAAAAAAGAAACCTATACTTCAATACAGGTTTTAACAATGATTACGTCACACCTCAGTATTTATAAACCTTAATGTATACATCAACACACATGGGGAATAAATCAGAATATGGATTCAGCTACTCAGTTAATCATAACCAACGTACAGTTTGCCAAAAATATTAATTCAGTGGTTGGATAACATGCTTCGATTTGAGCGCCCGGGTGGCACTCCAGCCCCCACACACATCGAATGACGAAGTGTGTCGCATATATATTTAGTGCCTTCTTATACAAATGTTTATGTGTTTAAATAAATAAAATAAATAATAAATAAGTAGATAACATGTATTTTAATAGCTTTGCAAACTGAATTCTAAATTTTCGATCAACACAAATAGTGGGTAGCTATTTTCATTTATAATCAAATACAATCAATGAAAGGATAGAAGTGATAATACATAGCAACCTCTAGTGAAGGCTTTAACCATCGCAAGGATAGGCTCTCTATAAATGTTCAAAATTAAAACGTTTAGTAATCGATCGTATCATAATCCATTACTCTGATGGTCATCCAAACATTCCATCACACTTTATAAATAAATGGATTAATTTAGTTAACTCGTATCAATGAAGACATTCAGAGGGCATTTGGGGACATAACAGCTTCATAGTGTTTTAAAATGATTTTCCTATGTACATGCATAGATTCAACTTTGATTGTAAATATTAAACAACAGATAAAATCGTGAACAATGGCTATATTGTTACCAAAGAATTTCGGAGAAGATAATTACATTTAAGAACTTACTAGTCGTCTGTAAAGGAGTCGATGAAGTAGGTGGAAATGAAAAAGAGAAAGCAGGAGTGATCTTCTGTGTTGCTGTTGTTGTCGCCGTTGCAGAAATTATTGTGGCAGATGTAGTTATCGTGCTGGTCGGAAAAGTAAATATGGAAGATGGAACTAGTGATGAATTACTTTCAGATGTTGAGACAGCACTGAAATTGGTAACTAATGGAAATATTGGATGTGAGACTGAAGCTGACGTAGTTACAGCTATTGTTGAAATGATTGTTGGTTCCTTCAAAATTGATGCATGGGCGGTAGAAGCAGTAGAGAAAGAAAATGAAACTGATGTAACGGCAGTTGCTAATACTGTACTTGCACTAGTCACTGGGGCGGATGGAGAAGATATGTTGGATGTAGAAGTAAAACCAAAACTTATGCTACCAGGTAGACTTACTATAGAAGTAACGGTAATAGATGTTGGGATAACAGCTTGAGTACTGATAACTTCACTAACTGAACTAATTACAGGAAAACTGAAATGTTTGGAAGTGGTTGAAGATGCCAATGGATTGCTAATGGAGGTGATATTCTGAACTGATGCAGAAGTGTTACATACAATGACTGACATGAAACTTACGCCAGATGTTGAATGAGCACTAGGCAGTGACGATGATATGGTAGAAACTATAGGAGATGAATTTGAACTAGCTAGGATTTGAGTGATGGGACTACAATAGCTAGTACTTGTAATAGAACTGATAGTAGAGTGAGTACTATAACCACATGAACTGCTCGAATTATTACTAGATTTGGCTGAGATCAGTTCACGAATACGTTTCACACGTGATTCCACATCAAATCCCGCAGAAGCAGTCTTAATCTGTGACTGACTCATCTTATTAAGAAATAGGTTTGAATGACTTTCAAGGTTTGCAATAAAGCGATTTAAGGATGTCGGCTGAACAACTGGGAGTTCTGAACTGTCAGTCTCTGATTTCTCATCGTAACAAGTTATATTAGTAACTAGTGGTGGTCCAACATTATTTAAAGACGACTGAGTTGAATCCTCTACGGTTTGGTTTTCAGTTGCAATTCTACGAGCAGTGACTTTTTTTCTTAAATACTGAAAAGGTGATGTATCCAAATCAATAGAATTAAAATCACCTGCTTCTGAGGTGTGATTCTCTAGATCATACTGACTCGTATATGTTAAAGCTTTAGTAGACAACAAATGGGCTTCAAGTTCAGATGGTGACATGTATGGAATCTTTCTTCTCAGAGCTGCAGCAGATCCAAAAATATTATTTAGGGACGGTTTAACACTCCCCGCAGATGATGTGGTTGAAACCGTTCTATCATCTTCGCACTCATTCAAAACTTGCGTCTGAACGGATTTGCTATTTCGATCGCTCACTTTGGATAGTAATCTGTTATCAGTGGCGCAGGCAGTAACCCCAACTGCATTTCCGCTATTGAGTTGACGCAAGGATGTGAAAGAAAAGCCGTCGACATCGTGTGTGCACCCCACGGTAGATATATCGAATGTCCTAGATGTTTTTCGACGCTTAGAATTTCCAAAGTCTGATTCATCTTGCGATGATTCCTCTGTAGTAACAGTAATATCAGAAAGTTCACGAGCACGCTTTTTCGACTCGAAAACACGTAAACCATGTTTAATGGCTATATCTGAATTAGGTGGCTCAGGAGTCCCAAATAAGTTTGCCTTTGTGCTCTCAGTCCGACAAACGCGACGTTTCAGAACTGGAGAATGGTAACCATTTAAAGGCTGGAAGTTAAAGATAGTCGGCATATAACTTGGGGAATCCCTGTGTAGTGTTCGACTTCGACCAAAATAGGCTGAAACTAGTGATTGTTTAGAACGGTCTGAGGATGTTGAACTTGAACCATTTAAAAGAGAGTGTCGCCTTTGAGAATGATTTATTGGACCATTACCCGACACTTTTGGTAAGAGAATTCTAGAGTAGTACGGCTGGGATGTCTGTGGCGAGTCCGACGAATTTGATATCACAGAGTTGTTCCGGTACATTAGTGAAAACTGTTAATGGTTACCATGTACAGCTAAAAACATAAACAAGGAACATGGAAAAAGACATAACCATATGATAAAGTCGGTAATATCTCTTTGACGACTGCCACTCCAAACCAACTTAGTGAACTGTGATATGTAAAACGAAACCCGTTCTGAATATTAAGTATTTAGTATATATATCACGGTTCCTCAAAGATATTTAGATTAATCCAGTATACCAAAACAACACAGTCATCTTAAGCGTACATAGAAATAGATAAACATAATGTAGAACCTTACAGAAACGAAACTTTTTGAGCTACCATACTTCGTGTATGTAAATAACATTACTTTTATGAGTTTAATTGGAAATGGACTGGACCAGGTTAAGCTGCGGCTTTTGCCCCCAAATGCCCTGGTACGGCAGAGAGTGGGGAGAGTCCGCTCTTCCTGCTGAAATACTCTCACACGGCCACGCGAATACAGCCTCTGCCAGGGAAGTCCAACTCATTGCCTTCTCGCCACGGGGGTGTTGTTTACGAAAATGAGAGGACGAAAAGCGAATGTTCGGCGCTTTAACCGGACCACAAACCAATGGTGCACATGGGCTCCAGTATCCTGCGGGAACAAATGGCGTATGAACCAATCGTTGGTCACCGGCTACCATGGGACTGCATCTCCTTACGATGCTCCACTGCCTTGTGGGTTAGACCTTTAGGTCAAAGGCTCAGGGTGTGGCCCCCTGAGAAAACCACCTGCTTTGGTCTGGGCACCCGGGCAGTATCGCAGCCCACACGCAATTAATGAACTGAACTGTCTATGATCATGGAAACTAATTCTCTTGCTTCGAATAACAATCGAATGATTCAAATTATTATTATTATTATTATTATTATTATTATTATTATTATTATTATTATTATTATTATTATTATTATTATTAACCACATTATTCACCCTCTTTTATACTTATACAGCGGCTCGTCTTTGGTGGAAATTCGACTGTATCTAAACGTTCTCGAGTCACTGTCCGGTTGAAAATTGTATGTTACCACCGAATATGAGTACTGAAGCAGCTTTTCTGAAACCACGTGCACCATTCAAACTGGCTGCCTTCAACGTTCGCACACTTATGCAGGTTGGACAGCAGATAGGACTGGCTATGTCTTTAGAAAGTCTTAATATCGACGTCTGTTGTCCATTTGAGACCCGTATTCAAGACTCTGGTGAAGTACTACAAATTCGCTCATCTGTTGCTTCGAAGAGCTTGTTTTACGTACGCTTATCCGGGGACCCTGTGGCATCTTCGTCTGGTCTTGCTGGCGTTGGTGTCGCACTAAGCGCTAGAGCTGAGGCAGCACTAATCGATTGGATCCAGAAAGTGCGTTCGACAGATATTGTAGTACTAGCCGGAGACTTGGATGCTCAGGTCGGGCATCTAGGCACAGAAGAGAGTCGTTTAGGTGGCCGATGAGGACTCGTTGGTCGCAGGTCAGATAACGGGGACCGTCTACTGCAACTGTGCACAGACCACAACCTGTTTTTGGCTAGCACTAACTTTCGGCACAGTCATTGCCGATGTGCCACCTGGCGTCCTCCCTCTACATCTCAAGCCTGGACTCAGATTGATCACATCGCGATCAGCTACCGCTGTCGTGGTTGTGTACAAGACTCCCGCTCCTTTTGGAGTACCTATCTGGACTCTGACCATGCCTTGGTCTGCGCCAATCTTACCTTACTTTTCAGTGGACAATGAAGTGACCGCCACCAACGGATTGATGTTAGCAAGCTGGTTGCAACTTCTGTTGCTAGTAAGTATCGAACCGAGCTAGTTTCTAGGCTAGCTACCATTCCACCGAAAAGTATAGATGAGCATTGGTTGAAATTGCATGACGCCATCAAAATGACGGGTACAGTCAGTTGTGGGTTCGCGAAACGTCCCGCTTATAAGCACTGGGTTTCTTCAGGTTCCTTACAACTCATTGAAGCCCGTCGGTCTACTCCGGGTGACCGAGTGACCGTGAGTTTGACCATAAACGAAGGATGTTAAGTAAGGAAATTGGGCAAAGCTTGCGTAAGGACCGAGAAGCCTGGTGGTCGGAGCGTGCTAATGAGTTGAAAGCAGCAGCTGCATCTGGTAACTACCGGAAGCTCTTCCAACTCATCCGAGCCACTGGTAGCAAGTCTGGTGTGAGCGAAACAATCTGCGAGGATGATGGGATGCCAATCACTAACATCCATCGACGTCTTGGACGATGGGCAGAATTTTTCGAAGGGCAGTTCAACTGGCCTGCTGCTCCGGCAACATCGGTCAGACTGTCCTGCCCTCCATGGCCGGTGACGACTGATCCACCAAATGAGGCGAAAGTCCGCAAGGAACTCCAACTCTTGAAGCGTTACAAATCTCCGGGCCCAGATGACTTACCTCCGGCTCTTTTTAAAAATGGTGGTGACTTTCTGACTAAGGAATTGACGACGTTGTTTACAAAGGTTTGGGAACTAGAGAGTGTACCAACGTCATGGAATGAGTCGATAGTTGTCCCTATCTTCAAAAAGGGTTCACGTCGTTCCTGTAACAACTATCGGGGGATAAGTCTACTTCCGACTGCGTCCAAGCTATTGGCTTCCGTCATACTTCGTAGGTTGTTCAAAACCCGAGAAAGATTGACTCGCGAGGAGCAGGTTGGGTTTCGTTCTCGTAGAGGATGTATTGATCATATCTTCACCCTCCACCAAATGTTAGAACACCGCCATACTTATCAACGACCAACAATCGTAGTGTTTCTTGACATCAGGGCTGTCTTCGATTCGTTGGATAAGACTGTTCTCTGGGATTGTCTATTGAAGAAGGGTGTGCCTGAGAAGTTTATTAACATCTTAAAAGCCCTATACACAAACACCTCAGGCAGAGTGAGGGCATACAACTACCTCTCTCCATTGTTCCATTCGAGCAGTGGGGTTAGGCAGGGTTGCCCAATCTCACCATTCCTCTTCAACTTTGCCATCGATGACATTCTGGAAACAGCTCTGATGGATGTAAGTAATGGAAGTGTGGATCTGTTTCCTGGAGAAAGACTTCTCGACCTTGAGTATGCGGATGATATTGTCTTACTGTGCGATAATGTCCAAGCCATGCAATCCGCACTTAATCAGTTGGCAATCAGTGTCCGTAGGTATGGTATGTGCTTTGCACATCCGAAGCACAAAGTACTTCTACAAGACTGGCAGGATTCTAATCCTGTACTCACCCTGGATGGTGAGCAGATAGAAGTAGTCGAGAAGTTCGTGTATCTGGGTAGCTGCATAAGTGCTGGTTGGGGTGTGAGTGATGAGATCAATGCACGTATAGTGAAAGCCAGAGCGGCTTATGCCAATCTGGGCCACCTTTGGCGCCTTCGTGATGTTAGTCTGGCTGTAAAAGGTCGGATCTACAACGCGTCGGTGAGAGCAGTTTTGCTCTATGCTTGTGAAACCTGGCCTCTCCGAGTTGAGGATGTTAGACGACTCTGTGTTCGATCATCGCTGTCTCCGAAGGATTGCTGACATCTAGTGGCAACACCATGTCAGTAATGCAGAGGTTCGGCATCGTATGTCCGGGCACAGAGACGATAATTCAATTGGTGTCACCATCTTGAAACACCGACTTCGGTAGCTTGGACATGTTCTACGAATGTCGTCTCAGAGAATTCCACGTCGTGCATTATTTGCCGACTCTGGGACTGGTTGGAAAAAGCGGAGAGGTGGTCAGTGCATGACATGGTGTCGTGGTATGAAAGCTGCAAAGGGCTGGCTTCTGTTGGTCCTTCACGACTCCCTGGTTGGGGTCCGAGAGATGGTGCTACACAGTGGCTAGAGACGTTATCAGATATGGCTCAGAATAGAAGCCAGTGGCGATCATGCTGTAACCTTCTTTTACTTTCTTCATAAAACGTGGTTGTAACTCCCTTAACTGAAGGAATTCTTTCTGATTGTACCTTTCCGTTCCCTCATTATTACTATTATTACTACTACACTACCCTACACCAACCTCTTCGTTATTGTTCTCTTTTTTTTTACGCTCCTTACCTTTTTTTCTTTCTCTTCGAATTCTCATTGTTTTGTGTGGCGCATATATATTGGCGCTCTCTTGTACCAATATTTGTGTTCAAATAAAATAATAAAAATAAAAATACCCAGAAAATGCCAACACCTAATGGTGTTTATTGAACAAGATCTTTTTCGGGTCATATTGAATCCTGAGAAGAATCGGTAAGTCTTATCTTTTTACTAGTGTTCATTTCCGTAACAGATTTTGACAGAGATCATCTTTACGTAAGCCAAGAAATGACTTACATTAACGTGACACGATGTGATTACTATGATTATTTATTTATTATCTAACACATAGATATTGGTACAAGGAGGCACCAAATACATATGCACCACAGAAATCTCATTTGATATGTGTGAAAGCTGTGATACTGCCCGGGTGCCCAAACCGAAGCAGGTGGTTTTCTCAGGGGGCCACACCCGGAGCCTTCGACCTGAGGCTCTGATCTACAAGGTAGTGGAGCATCGTAAGGAGATGCAGTCCCATGGTAGCCGGTGACCAACTATTGGTTCATACACCATTTGTTCCTTCAGGATACTGGAGCCTGTAGTGTCAGTTATTATGGCAAGCCCATATACCTTATTCTAACTTCCGGACATCCTATTTTATTCATTTTACTTGAGCCATATTTTGACCTTGTCAATTATTCGCTTATTAGCCTTGGCTGTTTTCACATGAGTGTATATGAAGTGTACACACATATACACTCATGTGAAAACAGCCAAGGCTAATAAGCGAATAATTGACAAGGTCAAAATATGGCTCAAGTAAAATGAATAAAATAGGATGTCCGGAAGTTAGAATAAGGTATATGGGCTTGCCATAATAACTGACACTACAAGCCCATGTGCACCATTAGTTTGGAATCAGGGTTTTCCAACTCCCCTAGGTGGACTCTCCATGTCCATCAACCCGGTTAAAGCGCCGA